ATGAGGAAGTGTATAGTTGCTTTGGTCACTTTCAGGCATAAACATAGATAAACAGATTGCCACTACTTCTCCATTTTCCCCTCACATAAAGAAATAAAGATTAAAATAGACTGATACGCAAATGGTATGTTGCCTTTCGGTTTGGATAGAAAACGTGGAAAATTTAGATTATATTTTTCAACTGCCCAAATTAGCCTATTTGGATTCTTAATTTATTTTCCTAAATTAAATTAATTTTAGTATTTTCATATAGTATGTTTTATATTATTCCTATCTTTTGAAAATCAAAGATGCTTGCAAATTATGTACAATTGTGAGAAAAAAATGTTAATCTTTACCCAAAATTAAAAATAGCTTGTTATTAATTTGGGAGCTACAGATATGAAGGCTGGATAACAGTGGTTGTTATTACAGTCCTGGGTTGCATATGAAAGCACTACAGTATGCAACTCTTATCTCTGTAAAGTTGGCATGGCTCGTGGGTTCATAATCCTGGATTTTGAAGAGTTGGGCTCAGTCTGCCTGACACACAAGATCCAATCCACCGTACTGTAACCCTCCCCAATAAATCTAATTAAAGTGACATTGTTGCCTAGCCTAACGTACACTATTGCCATCCCACCATTCGAAAAGGTAAGGCAGGAAGGAGTATCTTGAGTTCAAGGCTAGCCTGGGTTACATAATGAGTTCCAGGTCAAGCTAGAATACAATGACCAGATTTTGTCTCACGTAAAGTGAAACTAAGAATATTGTTTTCAGTAGGTTTGATTTTATAGGGAAGTGTTAGGTCAAAACAAAATAGGGTACAAAGTACAGAAAATTTTCATAAATCCCAATCACTAATTAGTCACAGTCTCCTTCACTATCAGCAGCACCCTTATCGCAGTGACACAGGCTCACTCTTGTCCAGATAAACAATGACTTACATTGGCTACTCTGCTATTGTACACACTACATTCCCTGCCCTGATCATCCTCCACTCTACCCACTCGCCCCTCCCCATCCAGCCCTGGCAAACACCGACCTTTTTTTTTTTACTGTCTCCATAGTTTTGCCTTTCTCAGGAAGTCATAGCTTGAATCATACTGTATGTCATTTTTGCAGTTCAGCTTTTTTTTCTTCAAAATAAACAGTTTAGTTTCAGCCTTGTCTGTTCTTGGCTTGATACGTTATTTATTTTTAGTACTGAGTACAATATACAATGTTTTATTTACTCATTTATTCACAGAAAGACATCTCATTTGACTCTAACTTTGGAATTGCAAACAAGATCACTGGAAGCATCCAGGTGCAGGTTTTTGTGGGGACATAAGTATTCAATTACTTTGGGTCAGTGCCAAAAAGCACAATTGCTGGTTTGTATTGTAAAAATACATTTTGTCAAAAACTGCCAGGCTGACTCCATCATGTCTGTACTATTTTACATCCTCTCCAGCAATGAATAGTAATTCCTATTGTTCTAATTTGCTAGCATTCATGACTGTCAATGTCTGGATTTGGGATATTCTAATTAGTTCTGGCCAGAGAACTAGAATTTAAGTATAAACATAATTTGTGACTGCCTGTGTGCAAATGACAAGAAGAAAGAAATTAAGACTCTGTTATCCAGGAACAGTATGTACAAAGAAGAGAGAGACGACACTTTAAAGGGGAAGGGTACCTCATTTTAGTTTGCAACTTCACAATGAAGTATGAGGTTGAACATATTTTCATATGCCTCTTTGCCATCTCTATCTATATCTATCTATCTAGTGTCATTTTCAGAGAGGTGGTCTTTGTGTTAAAAAGTTGTTCAGTTCTTTTTTTTGTTGAGTTTTAAGATTTGTTAGGTATATTTAGTTAACAGTTCTTTTTAAAGATATATTTTGTATTTATTTTTATTAATTACAGTTTATTCACTTTATATTCCACCTGTAGTTCCCTCCCTCCTCCCCTCCCAATCCCACCCTCCCTCTCTCTTCTCCACCCATGCCCTTCCCTGAGTCCACTGATAGGGGAGGTCCTCCTCCCCTTCCATCTGATCCTAGTCTATCAGGTCTCATCAGAAGTGGCTGCATTGTCCTCCTCTGTGGCCTGGTAAGGCTGCTCTCCCCTCAGGGGGAGGTGACCAAACAGCAGGCCACTGAGTTCATGTGAGTGTAGTAGATACATTTTGTAGTATTTTTCTCTGTAGTGACTTTCTCTGAAAGTTGTTAGTTTCTTGGGGGGAAAAAAATGAGGTCACATCTAAATAATAAAATAGAGTTTAGAAGTGACGTTTTTATATAGTATTAGTCTATCTCATTGTTTATGTGAATTTTAATTTGCCTATGTTTGCATTCCCGCTTCACTTTACTCACGCATGTATTGGAAATGAATTCGGTGCAACCCAAATATTTAAATTAATATACAGGTAATGTAAGTGAAGCAAATTGGAAAGAGGGAGGCGGCAGTAACTGAAACAAAGCTCCACGTCAGGAATGCACAGCGGATGAGAAGTTCTTACTGGAAAGCTGAAAATAATTGGCCCCATCTGTGTGTGTGCGTGTGTGTGTGTGTGTGTGTGTGTGTGTGTGTGTGTGCGCGTGCGCGCGCGCGCACTGCTAGGAGAAGACTAAATCATCCAGAACAAAAACATACATAAAAACAGAGGGCCAAGGACAGTTCTGGAGTTGTTCAGCATGGTGACAGATGTAGCCTAGGACAAAAGCTAGGAGAAGCTAGTAGTGTCTGTGAAGAAGAAGGCTGGCCTAAGGGAGCCAGTGCATCCAAAGCATAACTGTATTTGCTACTACAAAGGAAGAGATCAAGCCAAATGAAGACAGAAACACAAACTGCCATGTGAATGGAGCCCCAGAGTCACAGTATAGCCACCCGGTACAAGTCTATGTGAAGAGCCACAGCGCAATAATCCACCTACCCACTCAAAGCGTGAGGGGCAAACAACTGAAATCAGTACCTACTGTGTGATGGAAAAAAAAAAAACCCTCTCCATTTAACGAATTTATTTACAAATTTGACCAAATGCATAACTGAAAGGTGGTATCCTATCTACTTTGAATTTAAATACCACAAACCTGGAAACAGGTTAAATATCTATTGCCAACTGAATATATAGTATAGATAAATGCTACATCACTAGGTGGATTGCTGCTTAGCAAAATGATAATAGCAATAATGATAATAACAACAAGCTGCTGAAGAATGAAGGCAAACACAGTTATCACAAATGAAAGAACCAGACCCACCAGAAGCTTCAATAACTGCATGTGCATGTAGTTCTAGAAAAGGAAAACGCTTATGTACAGCACATCAGTAGTGTCTTCGGTGGAGAAAGAAGGGCAGAAAGAACGAATTGAGGAGAATCATACATAAGCAATGTGTTCATTGTCTTGATTGTGATCATAGCTTCATTTGTTTATACATACATAAACATTTATTGAATTGTGCACCTGAAGAATATGTTGTTTAACTTTATGTCAACTATAACTCAGTAAACCTGTAAAATATTAAATCCAGTGAAAACTTAGACTGTTACGATAAAATTCATAAAACCCAATGCTATTTTTAAAATGGGAGCGAGTTCACTGGGCTGTGGTTGCTCATCCTTTTAATCCCAGCATTTGCAAGATTTAGGCGGAAGAGTTGAAAATTCATGGCCAGTTTATGCTACATAGAAAACTTGAGACCAGTTTAGAGCATAGAGAGGGACCTCGGTTGTTCCCATGTGTTGTTTTTTTTTATATATATAGTTACATATAAATGCAAACAAATGCTTTGGTATTCTGATTACATTAACAATTCTATTTCTAAATAAATGGCATGTTTTCTGCTTGCTTATGACCTCAGCCAACAAAATGCTATTTGACATATATCACATATTTCTCATATGTGACATTTTGAATAGCTAGAGACCATGTCTTTTTCAATTCTACATATCTAACAAAAATTCATTCCATTGCCATCTTTGGTCATATTTGTTCATTTTGTGGCTGTGTCTGCTACCTTATGTGTGATTGAGATTCACCTTTTGACTCCTGCAAAATGTCAGCATCATCCTCCACATGCTGCTTTTGTCCCATAAACCTATAACAAATAAGCAAGGCAGGGGCATAAACAGTACCATCTGGCTATGCCCACTTGCAAGTTCCTTTGTTTTACACTTCTAACATCCCTGTGGAGACATTGTAAATTCTTACTGACTACTACTAATATAAGTAATTAACTTGCAAGTTTCCTGACCCAAAACAACAAGAGGACCAACATTTTCTAGTACCGTGAGATCACTTGAGTACCATCCTCAGGGATTTAAACTGCTCTTGATCAAACAGGCTTCGTAAATTGAAGCCCGGGAGGCTCTCAGGAAGTGGCTAAAGTCTGCATTTATTGATGAACTTTGACATAACACTTTCAACTGTGTGGTGATGTCATGTGACTAGTTAGTTGTGTGGAGGCTGGCACATCTCTGCAGAATAATTTAACACTAATATGACATTTGATATGGTTCTCACAGTTACCAGGGATCTGTTACTGTATCATGATTGAGAGAAATTATGTATTTAATAAGAACTGTTAAAACTAGATCATCTGGGCCAGGCAAGGTGGAACACACCTATAATCCTGGTACTTGGAAGGCTAAGCCAGGAAGATCACAAGTTCAAAGACAGCCTGAGCTATACAGTGAGACTTTGTCTCAAATGGAAAATTAAGTTAACATAAGAATCTCATTAGACATGCAAATATAAAAATGATTAAGTTTGACTGTTTGGCTTTGGCAGATGTGAGAAATAAGCTTGACAGTAAAGGTCTGCTGTGAAATAAGCTCTGTGGGATGTTTGTTTGTTTGAGATTTCTTTAGGTTTTGCTATTGTACATGGGGTATCTGCTTTCATACAACAGTATTTTCCAGGTTCATCTTATATTGATGTGAGCATGAAACATCATTTGTATAGTCTGTATAATACAGTCAGCTTTTTAAAATGTCAACATATTAAGAATATTTATTTGATTGTTTGTTTCAGGGCTCATACCTGTTGCACAGCAACCTGTTTACTGTGCTTCAAAGCATGGCATTGTTGGATTCACACGCTCAGCGGCGGTAAGGAAATCAAAACCAAACACCCTCCTTCTCCTTGTATTCATGAGTGAAACCTACATTTTATAGACTGGAAGAACATAAGTTCCAACAAGAAGGACCCTAAGAAAAATGCTTAGTCCTCATTCAGAAGGGCAAACAGGATAGAAATTGGAAGCGGGAGAAAATAGGGAACAGGGCAGGTGCCTACCACAAAGGGACTCTGAAAGACTGTACCCAACAGGGTATCAAAGCAGATGCTGAGACTCATAACCAAACTTTGGGCAGAGTGCAGGGAATCTTAAGGAAGAAGGGGAAGATGGGAAGATCTGGAGGGGGTAGTAGCTCCACAGAGAAATCAACAAAGCCAAAAAGTCTGGACCCAGGAGGGCATGCAGAGATCAATGCACCAACCAAGGACCATGCAAGGAGAGGACCTAGACCCCTGCTCAGATGTATACCATAGGAATCTCAGTCTCCAAGAGGGTACCTTAGTAAGGGGAGCAGGGACAGTCTCTGACGTGAACTCAGGGGCTGGCACTTTGATCATCTCTCCCTGGGAGTTTCAAGGCAGCCTTACCAGTCCACAGAGGAAGACAATGCACACAATCCTGATGGCACTTGATAGGCTAGGGTCAAATAGTAGTGGAGGAGGACCTCTCCTATTAGTGGATGAGGGGAGAGGCATTGAGGGAAAGAGAGAGGGAGGATGGGACTAGAAGGACATGAGGGAGGGGGCTATAGCCAGGATACAAAGTGAGTAAATTGTAATTAATAAATCAATAAAAGAAAAAAAATAAATTTTAAAAAAGAATAGAAGTTCAAATTACAAGATATCTAGCCAAAAGATGGAGGAGACTGCTTGTTTAATCTTTATTATAAAAACATTTGCAGTCATATAAAAGACTAAATAAAGAATCTATCATTATAAAATAGAGAGGTAGCACTAATGAATTAAGGATGAACAGTGAGGAAATATTCCATTTTTAAAAATGTATACAGTTTCTGCACTATTAATGTTGGGAGTCCTTAAATATAACACTTAAATCGAATTCTGCCTACTGTTTGAAAAATGTATTATAAAGCACAAACAGGGAAAGAATAGTTGAGCAGTCTCTGAGGGGTACTAGATAGAATGGAATGACCAGAGAGAGGAAGTGTTTTGCATTAACAATGAGAAAGCAAACAGAAGTGTCAGTGTTAATCATTCTTGAGAAGCAAACTGTTTTTACTCTTAATTTGGGCTGATTAGAAAGCAGTACTTATTTTGAAAATAATTAAATGTTTTAGACTAAGATGAATCATTTCAAAGCAGGAATTTCATATTTAAATTCATGACTGTTTCTGCAGTTGGTTCTTGTTGTTCACAGCAGTTATGTTTTCTAATATTATGTGCAAATACTGAATAAGTAAGTGTTGAACCATCACTTCTGGGAAAAATAAAAAGTTAAGGTACTAAAAGCAGGGTTCCCAAAATTTTAGTCAACCACTCAGTATTTAATCCTGTTTTACATGCATTTCTTTCTAATGAAAAGTTACCTTTATATATTGAAGAAATATTGAATTCACAGGTAATAGAACTTCTATTATGATGTTTGCATCAATTAAGCCTCAGTTTCCTGGCCTCAGATCCCTAAAGAGTTCAGTAAAGAAAAAAAAAAAAAAGCACCTTAGAAAATTTTGTAATTTTTGGCAATGTCTAATATTGGTGCAATTAAAACAATTAGTGTGTTGAAGCTTTCGTGAATGGTTTCTGTGTATCAGGTATGTCTTTACACAGTGTGTGCCTCCCCACTGGTAACTGTCCCGTATTTCAGAGCATATACAACCCGTGTGCTTTCTGATAGCCTTTCAAAAAGCTTACATTCGTTTGTCCAGTGCTGTACTTTGGAAAAGCTTCAGAAGCCTGTGATTGTGTCCTTCTGATTGGCAGATGGCCGCTAACCTTATGAAAAGTGGTGTAAGACTGAACGCCATTTGTCCAGGCTTTGTCAACACACCCATCCTTGAATCCATTGAAAAAGAAGAAAATATGGGCCAATATATAAAATATATGGATCAAATCAAGGCTATGATGAAATTCTATGGACTCTTGGAGTAAGTAAAGCTCTTTCTTTGAACGATGGAACAAACAATATTTTAAAGGTTTAAATTTTAGAAAATGATAAATTAAAGTTTGGGATGAAAAACTTCTGACAGGAAAAATGTGCACAAGGAATAGAATTATACATAAATGGTATGAATTTTGCTTTGAAAACAAACAGTACCTTTCAGCATTTACTAGATTTTATTTTTCTAAATGGCATTTACTTTCCAATGCAATTATAGCTTACATGACTAAACTTCAAACAATAAGCAAGTAATACAGCTGTGAAATGTTGTATGGTCCCAGAATTTCAACAACTTTTATAAAAGCAGTTGATCATCACACACATATACACACATACACAGGCACATAGTCAAAGAGCTGTATCTGAGTTACAATAGGTAGAGCAACACAAATATGAACTGACAGACACTGTGCCAGCATGCACAGGGCTTACACAAGTCTGGGCCAGATGGGGTCCAGCACTGAGAAGGAAGGGATTCCCAAACCCCCAACCCTAACCTGGAAGTTATCTCCAATTGCCAACTACTAGCAAATGAAGATAATTTACCCCAGTGGAGTCTCACTAGGCATACAAACCATTATTAAGATCAGACCCCATGCCCAGCAGTAGAAACCAACGCAAAACAAATTCAATGGCTTTTTAAAATGTCATTTGTCAGGCATTTGGTTTTTATGGGGATTATGAGGGTATGAAATTTTTGTCTATGTATGTTTCTGTGTCTACATGTGTTTCCTGATATCTTTCTTTGGCTCTTTTATTTTTGTTGATTGGCTTGTTTGTTTTATCCTATTCTGGTTTGGTTTTTTTTTGGGGGGTGTCTCATTTTATTTTACCATCATTATTTTTTGGATGTCCCCATTTGTATTCTATTGAGATAGAGAAAGAAAAGATGTGGATTTGTGTGGGTGGTGAAGTGGAGAAGATCTGGGAGGTGCTGGGGAAGAGGAAACTGTAATCAGAATATACTGTATTAAAAATCTATTTTCAATAAATTTTTTGATGAAAAATAAGTAAAATCCAAACATACAGCTCTGGCATAAGAACATTCTTCATAAAACACAAATAAATAAGTAAATAAAAAGGATAGGATGGGATGGGATGGGATGGGATGGGATGGGATGGGATGGGATGGGATGGGATGGGATGGGATGGGATGGGATAGGATAGGATAGGATAGGATAGGATAGGATAGGATAGGATAGG